GCCCACTTCCTGTTCTCTGCTGCAGACCACACCCACCAAGGAACCTACAGCTGTGTTTACCACGTCTCTGTTTTCTCCCATGAGTTCTCCTCCAGGAGCCAGCCGCTCAGTCTCACCGTCTCAGGTAAGTTCATGGAGTCCAGCAGGAAAACTGTCAGATTCATTTGGACTCAGTAGAAATGATCCATTTAGAATTAAAACTGGACTTTTTCTTTAACTCATTTATCTCCAACCAATCAGGGTATGTGACTGCTTTGATCATCAGACTAGTTGTGGTCCTGCTGGGTCTGCTGGGATCAAACCTGCTCCTCTACTTCTACTTCAAGGTACTGTACGGATCATGCTGCTGGATTCAGTTAGAAAGCTTCTTGCAGTCATTCTAAAAGCTGATGTTTTTTCAGGCCAGCAGCAGGCAGAAGTCAGGAGCAGAGAAAAAGCATCATGTTGATGGTTCCAGAGCTGAAGGCTGCAGAGAGGAGGAGACTGCAGCCTTCAGGACCGAGTAGAGCAGGATCTTCAGGATCAGAGCTCCTCACTGAGAGGAAACAGGAACATTTACAGATGATTGGATTCTCTGCCACATTCAGCTAAATGATGCATCTGATTCTTCCTTCTTTCACAACACATTTCATCAGATTTAAAGAAGAAATGTCTGAAATGTTCTGATCTGCATTAGTTCAGTATTCTTTTAGTTCGGTTCAGATGTTTATGATTCTGATGGTTTACAGTTGATTTGATGTTAATATTACTGTTTTTGTGTTGCTGTGAAAAGTTTGCTCCTCGACTAAGTATTAACTGCTGATTTTATTTACATGAAGATTTTTTTGTCAAATATTTCCAAAGTTTGAGTTTCTGTTTAAATAAACATTGAAAACTTAACTGTTTGTTTTTGAGCTCTGACACATCACACATGGAATCACTTGGAAAGTCTCAAAGTTATTACTTTTATTTTCCACAAAGATCATCAGAACATTACCTCAAACAATATTTTATTATTTTACACTTTGTTCAATAAAACTGTTATATTTACTGGTATTTTATACATAATCTTTCATGAATAAAACAAAACATTATTTGCTAATTTGATCATTAATTTATCAGCTGTAATATTAGAAGATCAACGGTGAAATGTTTAGTTCTCAAATTATGAGAAACATAGAAAATAAATTTGTATATATTACAGAAAACTGCATCCATGTACAAAATATTTCTTTCTAAAATCGGAAGTTATTTCATTATAACTCCAGATTAATTTCTCATAAATCAGCCGTCCTACTTGACTGTCTCCTCAGTCAACAGACTTTGTTGAAGAAACTGAAAATCCAACAGGATCATCAAGAAGTTTAGTTTCTAAAAAAACATCTGGCTGTAAATGATCAGGATTAAGTAATTTTGATTCAAAGACCTGACAATATGAATTATTTTCTTACTGCACTTTCTCATTTTCTTTGGCCTCATGTTTCAGAACACCTTCATCCAGAGGACATCATCATCATCATCATCTGACCCTGATGATCCATGTTTCTGTCTGACCATGGTGACCTTAATGAGTAACTGGCAACAGCTTTGATGGGTCTTTTGTTCTTGTTTCTCTTTAAGTTTTTAAGAAAACTGATTGATGTTAGAGTTTCAGGCAGCAGTTGAATTGGTACTTTATAAAATGTATTGTGTAATACTTCCCATAGAGACAATTCAAACCTCACAAAGAGTTGCGTTTCTGAAGCGTCCAGCTGAAATCTCAAACGTTAGGTAGAGGTCAATATTTTAAAATATAAAGGGTATGTCATAAAAGCATCATTGATTGTTGTCATTAGCCACCTAAGGAAATAAGAAATACTAAAAAAAAAATTCATAGAGTTTTTCTTGGTGTGGACCTCAAGGGTTAAAAATAAAAAGTAAAACTGAAAACAGCAGCAGAAAAAAAAACGAAAATCAAAATGTTGTCCATTCATTTTTTTTTCCAGGTGCGCACAGTGACCTCTTGTGGCAGAAATTATAACTACATCACTAGAAGGAATGCGTGACAGCAAGAGTTCCGCTCTGATTGGCTGGTTGCTCTGTTCCGCTCAGGTCACGTGACCGCCTCCTAGCTGCAACTTTTCTGAAATGAGGCGCTTTATTTGGATTTTCACGGTATTTGCAGCTGAACATCGACCTTAAATGTTGTTGTGTGTCGGGATTACACCCGGACGCTGTTGTTGACGGTGTTTTCACTGAGCTGGATGTGTTACAACAGGTGAGTTAACGTGTTTTTTTCTCTTTCTTAGCTAAAAATGTTTTGCTCTGTCAGCAGTTTGCAGTCTTATTCCCACAACAAACGGCTTTAATCATGTGAGTTAAAAGTTAACCAAACTGTTTTATTGTTGTTAAACACAAACTATAAAGTCTTTATGTTTTTATTTTCGTAATTCTGAGCAGGTTTGAGTAGTATAAAGTCACTTTCACAGCCTTGTCTGAGAAACGTTTAGTTTGTTTTTGACACCATTCACACACAAACTAATCAGCTTTGTTTATATCCACATTTAAACTGAAATTATGTGAAAGATTTGGGGGGAAAACGTGTTTTAAAACCTTTTTAGTTGTTAGCAATAAATATAACACGGATTATAATATATTTGCACACTTTCTTATTGTTTTAATTGATTATCATGATTCAGCAAGTCTGGCTTATTTTATAATTTTATTATCTGAATAAGTTTTAAGAATTGTGATGTAAAATAAATCCAATGCAAATTTATACTCAAAAAGACATTTTTGGACATGAAAAATATGAAAGTATTAAGCTGTTTTAAACTTAATTAAAATTTTGTACAGAAACCTGATTAATTACCTGACAATTACGTTTTATTGATCAGTTTTTTTTAGTTTGTTAGATTTTTACAGCACACATACAAGTGAGTTTGACCTACTTTTCTGAACTCGGTTTATTAATATTAACCTTTAAATGATCTGCTGATATAGTTTTGACATTATTCTCAACTATGATGTTAGTTTCTTTTGACAAAGTGCACACACAGATTTTACTGTACGTTTCTCGCTGCAGCTGTGGCTCAGTGGTCAGTGCTGCCCTCTGATAAGGCTGAGGCTGCGGGTTCGAGTCCAGTATTGCTTCAGAAACGTCCTGTATGAAAGAACCCTCTTATCCAGGGTCAGGTCTCGGGGGCAGCAGCCTCAGCAGAGAGACCCAGACTTCCCTCTCTCCAGCCACTTGGACCGGCTCCTCTGGGGGAATCCCAAGGTGTTCCCAGACCAGCTGAGTAACATAGTCCCTCCAGCGTGTCCTGGGTCTTCCTCTGGGCCTCCTCCCAGTGGGACGTGTCCAGAACACCTCACCAGATGAACCACCTCAACTGGCTCCTCTCGACGTGGAGGAGCAGCGGCCATAGATGAGGATAGGAACGTAGACCGACTGGTAAACCGAGAGCTTCACCTTCTGGCTCAGCTCTCTTCACCATGATGAATCAGTACCACGTCTCCAGAGCCAGCTTCTGTAGCTGAGGATCGGACCGCCAGGGTCCTCGCCTTTGACCACTGCCCATCACACATTGCACCCGACCCCTACGGCCCCTCCCACATGTAGTGAACCCATGAGAAGGGGGGCCTACGTATCCTCTGAAAGAACCGTTTTTAATTAATTGTTTTAGACAGCATATGAACATTTTGTCCAACAATAAAGACGTTGAAGATGGGATAAAAAAATCTAAAATTAGCCAAGCTTGCCAAATCAGGTGTGTTTTTTATGTATTTTCTTGTGTTTTTCAACATCAGCGTGACTTTAGAGAAGTCAAAATGCTTCAGAGCAGAAGGCTGAGTGGTCACATGACTGTTTGAGAAACAAATTCCCGTGACTGAGCTGAGCTCAGAACAAGTTTTTCTTTTTTTTTTAACCAGGTAGCGTTTGTCAGCATTTTAGATCCCAAACTTCCTCTTTAGTTTTAGCTTTTTTTTTTTCCTATCGACCTGTTGAAGCTGGTGTTTGAGCTGCAGCTGATTGTCTTTATGTTGGCCTGAAAACACCTGGAAGCTTCTCTTTGTCTGTGGAGGAGCAGCAGAGGAAACACATCAGGATCTGTGGTTAGAATAAAATCATTTTAAATGTGATTTTAGTTTTTGTTTCGGTTTGGACAGCACAGAGAATTGAAGCATCACGTGACTTTCTCATGTTCACTTTCAGAGCAGTGGTCTGGGAATAATCTGAGCTGAGCTGACTGTCGTGGGACGGGGGTCCGTGAGTCTTTGTTCTACCTGTGAACATGAAGGCAGACATACCTTACAACCAGGTACCTTTCTTTTTTTATTATTCTTTTATTTCATTGTTTTGTTCTAAAGTAAAACTCTTTATTTATTTCACTTTGTTTCATTTATTACATCAAATATAAAACAATAATCAGTTAAATCATCCTTTTTGTTATTTGTCTATGTTACAGTCATATTTATATTTACATAAGGAGCACTTAAGGATTAAATAATGAATAAAAATATAAAAAATAACATTATTTGTGCAGTTTTTATAGACCAGCTTTGATAAGCCAAGGTCAGAGCACAAATGAGTTGATGGTTCTAAAAAGAAACAATATATAGATATGAGCAGAAAATCCGTTTTATAATTGGTTTATTATAAAAGTTCATCGGGTCATTGTTTTGAAGTAGAGATGCACAATAACTCATTTTAAGAACCGATACCGATAACTTTCTCCTTCTAATGGCCGATAACTAATAACATGCCAAGAGATAAGGACTACAGATGTAAATTAGCCTTAGGCTAAATCTGGTGCAATGCATCAAATGTTTTTATGTTTAAGTTTTAATTGCACATTGTCCTAATAAATTCATTCATTCATTCATTCAAGTCGAGTCAAAAATGGGTAAGATCATAACATAAATAAAAAAGACCAAAACCAAATGACACTGTAAATTATACTATTTTAAATAAACTCTTAGCAAACAAACATTTCTTAAAATATATCAAACAAATCAATTTCTCAAATGGCCATTTTTAAAAAAAATAAGGTACATTAATTATAAAATAGATTTTTAACACTGATCTCAGATTTAAACAAAAGAGAAAAAGTCATTCCACAAGTTCAAAACAGATAATGTACCAACACGAGTTAGATTCAAAGTACATTTGTTTTTATTYTTATTAATATATGATTTCAAACATTTTTCTACCTGAAACAGTGCTTCTGAGATAATAGTGCAGAAATGATAACCTGTCAATCAAAATGTGAACGCATTACGACCGCATCATACTTACAGGCAGACACACACACAGAGAGAGAGCAGCAGCTCAGCTGGTAAACCATGGTTAAGGAGATAAAAGCTTCAGTCTTTAACGAGAGTGAACGGCTGCTTGTCATCATTTCCATCGATAAATTCTTGAGATCTGCGTCCTCTCTGGTAGTGCTGGGTGGTATACCGGTTCGTACAGATTACCGTTTTTAATTTTTATTATGAATTTTCTGAATACAACATACCGATTTAAATAGCCTGAACACGTGCGGAACGTTTCGTCGCAGCTACCAGTGAACTGTTTCTCGGGGGACACTTTTCCTCGTTGCACCGCTATGTGCGTTAGCATGCTAACGTTATTGTTGAGCAGTTTGTTGCAGCGGCGGGTGGCGATTCCGCTGCTTATATTGACTGATGATAAAAAACATCCCGTTTTCACCATCGCTGAATGTAGTAAACACCTCTTCAGTGACGTGCACGGTTAGATTAAACGCAACGTTATTATGGAGACGTGGAGACGCTTGGAGACTTTAACGTGCTTCTATTGTGAAAAGCCGGGGGATGTAGTTTTGTAGTGGAATTGAGTTCAGTGGTGTGCAAGGTGAGTTGCTGTTAATCTTTATTAAATAAAATAAAACAACAGACCCGATAATCTTTTCTTAACCCTCCTCCTTCACGACTGGACCAAAATGCGTGACTACTGTCTCCAACCAGGAGGAGAAGAAAAGACGTGTAGAGGAGGGAAACGGCGACACAGACAGAGGTACAGTAAAATAGAAAAGTTAATAAACAGTTTTTGTACATTTTATTATCAGCTGACCTGTGATGAAAAGAAAAATACCGTGATGTACCGTGAAACCGGTGTAAATGTTGAAAATACCATGATATAAAATTTGGGTCATACCGCCCAGCTCTACTCTCTGGTAATTTTATTGGATTTGTCAAAAGCCTCAGCAATGATACAAGTCCCGACGAGTTCTTGAACCCTGGCTTGTTGTTTTTAGTATTTTAGCAGACAGACTCTGTGCTGCATTCAGGAGATAAAGGACATTACATGTTCTCAATTAGGAGTAGTTGTTCCGATGTTTATAATTATAAAGTTTGTGTGTAACATACAGAGTTAATTGGTAAAATAATATTAATAATTCATAAAATGACTGGTTCTAATTATTTTTCTAGTGAGAAAGATGTTTATTCCGACGCAACTTGAACGTTGCTCGGGTCGTGTCTGATGGTAAGCGGCTTGACCAAAACCATAAAAATAAACACGCATTCTCACCGCCGCGCTGGCAAACATGTACATATATTATCGGTTCTGTTTGTTATGATATCGGACTGATAAGTATGACGTCATAATTCCCTGATATCGGGCCGATAACTAAAGGCACCCCTATTTTGAAGCGAGTCATGAGACTCGGAAAGTCCACTTCAAGTACAGGAAGTTACTGATAAATACGTATAACAAAAATGTGCTTAGAGATGAGAAACAATGACAGTCTGGTGGTTTCCATTTTAAGGAACTTCTCATCAGACCTGACTAATTGTTTTGAATAAATGTTTCCCTTCAGTTTGGTGTGAAACGGTGTAGAAGTTGTGTAGTGATTATGTTGTTGTGTGTAGCTGCTGGACATGGAGTGGAGGAGGCCGGAGACCAACAGGAGAGCGCAGGCGGTGAGCTGCAGCACAAATATGAACGTTCTCACTCAGAAGTAAATCTGACATGGTTTGTCCTGGTCTCAGTGCGCCAGGGGTCTGCTGGCTCTGGCCTCCCTGGCGTGTCTGCTTCTTGTTGCCGTGGCGCTCTATAACCTCCTGACCCCAGCAGACTCCTCCCATCGCCACCCCGACCCTCCTCGACTCAGCGTTTCTCTTGCTGGCGAAAAGGCCGAGTCCTGCTCAGACCCCTGCAGGTAAAGAAACTCAACAAACCAGACCCCTGACATGTTCTTGTGTGTTTACACCTTGGTGAAACCATACAAACAGCTGCAGTCAAACGTTTTTCTGAACAACAGCAGCAACACAACCTCATGCTCTGTCCAAACAAACATTGATGTTTTCACCATTTGAATGATTTTCCAAAAATAAGACGTCAAAAAATAAAAAAAATCACTACTTCTGTGCCAGGCTTGTTCTGGTGGAGAGCATCCCCGAGGGGATGGAGTTTAACTCCAGCGTGGGGCACCCCTCCATCTTCCAGGAGTGGATCAGTCTGATGAGCGAGGCGCGCAGCAGCGTCGACATCGCCTCCTTCTACTGGACGCTCACCAACAAGGACACCGGCTCTCAGGAGCCCACGGCCAATCAGGTCGGCAGAAAGCTGAGCGTCTTTTTTTTTTTAAAATCTTTTCCCACAATATAACTCGTTATACAACAGGGGCGGAGCCAGAGGGGTGGCCACGGTGGCTAGTGCCACCTCTGACACCTGATTGGCCACCCCAGGTTCCACCTCCAAATAAAATTTTAGTTAGCTTGAATTTTTCATTAGCATTTAAAATTAGATAAAGATTATTTTCAACTAATTTTACACTAATCTTCAGCTTTGAATGTCTAAACATGGCTGAATAATAAGTTGTGACTAGCATTCAGTGTGTTTTTTATTTATTTATTTATTTATTTTTGTTATACTTAGCTATGATTACAGAAAATTTCAGCTCAATATTGTTTAAACGACTGAATTAAAGCCATTTGGAATTAATTGTTGTGACCATCATGAAAGTGCTTTTTTATTTGAATGTGACCTCTAAAAACACTTCGGCCACCCCTTGAAAAAAGTCTAGCTCCGCCCCTTTTCTACTAGCGATTGGGTGGTACTATACAC